GCGAGTCACTTCCAATGTTTCAGCCTTGGGCTTGCCGACATTTGCGCGGCCACCACCATCGCTACCACCCAGTGCTCTGTGGCCTTGGGCTTCTATCTTTGTGCCAGAAGCGTCAACCTCAACGGTGTCGCGGCCGTCCGAGTCTGCCGCGGCATTAAGCGTATCGTGATGGAAAAAGTCGAGACGGATCATGCCTGGCATGGTGGCGACGGGGCCATCGCGAAGTAGGGTCTGGTGGAGCTCCGAGGCTGGCGGACGTGTGCCTTGTCGAGCTCCTCGGTTCCGACCGCAGCACAATGTGCCATCTTGTTCAAAGTTGGAGATGTAGCCGGACGCTGCTTCGGAGATCTCGGCGAAGATGATGAGCTCCAGGTCCAAGTGGCAGGCGCCAGGGGAAGTGATGCCGATCCTTCGGAAACCGGCGCGCGCCCCGATAATTCCAGGCGCGACGACGGGGGGCTGTCCACCGTTGAGAGGGGCCCCGACGAAGTTTTCTCATGAGCGACCGCAGCTTCATCGACGTTGCGCGGCGGGCCTCCCTGGCGCGCGAACAACGGTCAGCCATGAAGGATGCGTTGCTCTCAGAGTGCGTCACATTCGTGGATCTCAGAGACGGAGACTCAACCCGCACCATCATATCCACTGCCGCAAGTCTTTTCCACGGAGGCATGCCAGCACCACCGCCATGTCACTGTGGGCGCCGTGCCTCTTGCCACCGCTACCGCGGAGGCCATGGAAGCCGGCGGGGCCGGACGCGCCGGCGCGGACATGTTTGCCCCGGACGAGGGGCAGAAGTTCAAATTGGATCATCGTAGTCCAGAGGGTCACTGTGCACGCCTCCGGGTCTGCGTAGCAGGAGCCATGAAGGCAGTCGTCGAACGTGGCGCTGGCCTACTTACTCTCCCCCGAAGGGTTTTGAGAGCGCGCCGCAGCCGTCGCTGCCGCTGTGCTCGAGGAACTGCGAGCATGGGTCGGTCAACTGATTCGCACGGTGCTCGCGTCGTGGAGCACGCGGCATTCTTGACTGCGGGTGGGTGGGCAAGGTGAAATGGACACGACGCAAAGCAGACCCATCTCAGACAGTTCGGGTCATTCGCATGAGATTGACCATGCGGGGCTTCAGGGGCGCCGCCGTCGCCGCGTGCGCAGGCGCCACGTCGCGGCTCTGCCAGCGCGCGATTGTCTCCGAGGCTGCCTGCCCATCTTCGAGCTCGACCATGGCGCCGTCGCAGTCTGTGCAGATTGAAGCGGCAATACGATTTCGACCCAGAATTCGAAGTTCTCCACGTGGAGAAACCAGGCACCAGGTGCAAAGTTTTCCCGAGCTGCTGCTCCATCAAATCTCCATGATCACCAATCAAATGTCCTCGCGCCACACGACGACGAGTCCATCGCCAAACATAACGATGGCGAGTTCGCCCTACTAGCCACCATACGTGTCGACGACGCCACTGTAGCAGGATCACGGCACGAAAAGGCCAGTTTGCGTCAATGTCTGGAGGTTGCCTTTGGTTAAAGGTGAGCTGGATATCAGCGAAGGGGCCTTCGCGCGCTGCGGTGCGCGTCATTCCCCCGCGCGCGCAGCGGCGGATGCGAGCTGGACCAGTTTGAGTTTTGTCAGGGACCAGGACCTATAAACAAAAGCTGAGCTAATTGGCAAGCCCAACTCTGAGCTCGCCTGAGAGAACATTGCCAAATTGTACATCAGTGTACTTATGGCACTAGCCATCGCACTCATCGTACGATTCGATCTGCGCGTCTACGCAGTGGCACTTCAGCGCCGCGCAGCGGCGCCTACGTGCGGTCGCGCACGGGAGCTCAATGCGCTAGCGAGAACTGCGCAGGCCAAGCCTTTGCCCATCCATTGTTTCCCCATGCGTTGCGCACCCGAAATTGCAACCCACAGCGACGACAAAATCATATTAGAACAGAAGGAAGGCGCTAACGCGGGACGGGCCCTGCAAGGGGGCGACGTCTTGCACGCGGGCGCCAGCGGCGCAGGTGCTCGTCAAACTATCCTTGGCAAGCGCGCGCGCCGCCTACTAGACTGGCAGCGCGGGGCGCTCTGAAATTCGACGCGACGCGCCTTCGAAAGTGAGCGAGCAGCCGCGAGCAGGCCAACAGATCGCGGCATCGCTCTGGCAACCACGCTCCGCGAAGTGCTCGATGGACTTCGGGGCCTTGGAGTTGCGCGCCACCATTGATGGTTAGCGGGCGCTCGCGCTGCAGATTGAGCTCTGCCTCGGCTCGATGGGGGCGGGCGCAGCCGTCGCGCCCGCGAGACGGATGCCCCCAGAAGAAAGCATTATTGCCGCGCGTGCTCTGGTCCGCGACCTCCCGAGCTGTTCTCAATTCTGGGCATTGATCTGGGAAGACGCGCGAGACGCGACCGCCCATGGACCAACCAATGGCAGCATCGTTATATGTGCCCTCCAGGATGTGGTCGATGGTCCTCGCCAGCGGCCACGCGCGCCGCGCGCAGTCACCCTCGCGTAGGCCGGCAAGCTCGCTGCGCCGTCATGCCACGATCGCCAGCCGATTTCATGCAACTAACAATTTCCAGCATGCGTCTGTGGACTGCTCTGTGCCCCAGTCCCCTTTGGACTGCAAGTCCTTCCTCTTTCTCATTATTATCGGAAGGTTTGTTGCGCTGTGCGTGGCGCTTGAGAGATCTGTTGCAGCGCGGCAGTTCGGGGATACCATGTTGCCGTGAGCGTCCCAATCGCAATGTTCAGCTCGCGCCGCGGCGTGCGCGCGGGCGCGCACGCGCGCGAACGCGCGGGGCTATAGCAGGGATGTCGGGGATGAGCGTCTACGATGCCGCTGCCATTTCCTCGGCGCCAGGCGCGCGCGCCGCCCGGCCGGGGCGCGCTCGGCCGCCGCCTGCGGCTTGCGCGCCGCCGGGCCTGCGCGCGATGCCTCGAAACAAGCCGCGGGATCCTCTTGGGCCGCCGCTGCCGCGTCGCTCGCGGACCGCGCTCTTGGCGTCGCTGTCGCTCGCGGAGGGAGTGTCGTCGCCGGGCGACGCGGCGCTCGCGACGTCCACGAGCCGAACTGCGTGCTCGATCTCCGATGCCCCCTCCGGTCGCATGGTCGAGGTGGGGCAACCCAAAGGCGCAACCAGTCATGGGCCGTCCTCCCGGCGCGCCTCCGATGATGCTTCCTCCGCATCAGGGGCAATCTTGCCAGTTGCAGCTGTGGGCGCAGCAGGCCCATTAATGAGACAGGGCACATCACAACAACCTCTCTGCCTCTCGAGGTCGCGCTCGGGTCCAAGAGCTTCCCTGGCCCCGCTCGCGCCTTCCGTTTCCCCGCGGGCGCCGCGCAGCTGCCGCGCCCCGCGCGCGGTTGTTGCCCGCCAGGAAAGCGTGCGCGCCAGGTCTTCCGAATTCTCCGCCGCCTCCCAACGCGCCAGCCTCGGCGCTCGCGGAAGGTGCCCGGCCCCTTTCGCTCAGCAAGAGCGACGCCGAAGTGTTGGAGTTCATGCGGCAGTGGGACATCGCCGACCCAGTCCCCGAGGCGCTGGTCCGCCGGAGTCTACCCCGCCCAAGTCACGGAGCCAGAGTGGCGCGCCGGTCTCGCGTTCGAGGCTCCAGGGCCATGGGCTGGTTGAGCGACGCCAGCCGCAGTGCGCCAACGCTCCGCCCGGCGTCGGCCTGGTCACGCACGCGGCCGCGTCGCGCAACTTGCGGGCCTCTTGGATCGCCCAGGAGAGGGCCGAGAGCCGCCACTACTGGTCACTCACCAACGTCGGCTCGTGGCCCAGGTTTGACCGAGACCGCTCCCGGGCCCGCGACGAGTCGGACTTTGGCGCGCTTCCTTCCAAGGGCAGGCAGCTCGGCCACGCGAGGCCGGCGCCGCCGTCGCCCCGGCCGTCGCGCCCCCCGCCATCGCACTGCGTGCGCGCGCCGCGCGCTTTTTTCACGTCGGTACCTCTCGCCAGGAGGGTCATCCCCGATCTCCTTCTGGCGCGGCTGAGCGCGACGAGGACAGCGCTGCTCGCGGCTCGGGCTGGAGGCCGGCACAGCAGGTCCTTCGGCGCCGCGCTAATTTTGGACGAGGACAGGAGCCGCGGCGCCCATCGGCTCTCTCGGGCACGACGCCGCGGCATCAGGCAAGGGCGCGAGCAAGGGCAAGAGCGAGAGCGAAGCCGCGCCAGAGAACAACGCCAGACCGAAGAAGACGCGGAGGGCAGGGGAGAAGGCCAAGCGATGGCGCGCCAGCGCGGCCCCCCGCGCGGCCGCCGCCGACGAGCCTGGCCATTCCTCGCCCGCGGGCAGTGCTGGGGCCGAGGAGGCAGAGGCCCCTGGCACGTCCAGCGAGGAGGTGGCCCTTCGGTCGTGGACGGAGGGCCCCCCGCAACTCGTGATTGCGGTGGGCCCCGAGGCGATTGTGCCAAAAAGTGCGCGCATTCTTCGTGGTCGATCTCCACCCATCACCGTCTCCCACCTGCCAGGTCCGGGCGCTCGCGCACCTCCACCTCGCCCTCCGCGCAGCCTCGGGGCCATCACTTCGCCGCTGTCGTAAGACAGGCTTTCAGACATCGCGTCTGCGGCCCGAGGGCACAAACGCGCGCGTATGCGGCTTGGAATACCTCGCGCCACCATCGCTCACGCGCGCGAGCTCCTCCAGTACTGTTCCTAAAATCCCTAGCGAGCTACCCCTAAGAGAGGGCAAGCCCGCGCCCCGCCGCGTCGCGCGCCCCTTGGTCAGACAGCGACGGGGCTCCCCTGCTGAGTCTAGCATGCGGTGGGGTTGGACAGTTATGGTTCCCTTTTTCCTTTGTTCCTCTTTTCCGCCAGAGCTGTTCGATCGCCCGCGCAATCCCGATTCAATTCGGAGGACCCGCCGCGTTTGGCCCAAGCGCCATTGCAGACCTACGCATTGACAGAGGGCAGAAACGCTGCAATCAACATATTATTGCCGTCGTGCTTTCTCTCGCACCGCTTTCAAACCCCGTAATTCTACTTTTCCCCCCTCTTCCTCCCCCCCGCCGAGAGGCCGCCAAAGCGCTCGGATACGCCATAGACTGGGGCCCTTCTGGCGGTTTCGTCGACGTCGTGGACGGGTGTTCTGTCAGGCCGCGCTCGTCCCTCTCTCCGGGCTGGCTTCTCTTCTCGCATCCGCCTCCAGTGGTAAAGACGTGTGTTCGCCTTGCTGGGCTTCCTGGGGAGCCCTCGTCGCCAAGGATGGATTCGCCTTGGAGTTCCGGCCAATTTGCATTTCAGGAGAGGTCAGCAGAGTAGCGGTCTCGTGTTGTTGTTTGTGTGTTTTGTGTGTGTGTGTGTGTGTGTGTGTTGTGTATGTGTGTGTGTGTGTGTTCCCCAACACCTTTTCCGTTCGTCCTCCGCCTCCCCTGTCCTGCCTGCTCTGTGATCCCTCCTGTTTCCCTCCTCTTCTTTTCTGCCTCCGTCATCTCCGACCACTCTGCCCCATGACCGCTTTGCTGGGCATTTCATGCCGTTTTTTTATGTCCTTCATCATTTGAATATCACAAGCTGGACAGCAGGCGCGCAGGCGCGTGTTTCCAATATTACGGTTCAGCACATCCACGGTGGCCTTTTTCGGAACAATGGTTTGCTACCCTATTCTGCCCGTCCGCCGTTGGCCGCTGCCGCAAGTCAGGGTTTCCCCCCTGGGGCTCGGGGCGAGCTTCCTATCCCTCCTCCATCTTTCCCACTCCGTCAGGCCTGTCTGTCATTCGTGAATGTGTTAAGTCGTGTCATTGTTTGTGTTTTCTGTCTCTCTCTCTCTCTCTCTCTCTCGTTTATTTCTTCATTGTTATTTGTCTTGCCCCCTATCTGATTGTATGGCTCTTTCTCTGCCGCTCTCGGTCTCTCTCCCTCTCTTCCTCTCTGTCTACAGCAGTCAACACATTGAGTATACAACGTTCGAAATGTATGATGTATGCACCGGTCTTTTTGTGTTCAAATGTCCATCGAGTTCGGACACACATATCTATATATGTGTATGTATGTATGTATGTATGTATGTATGTATGTATGTATGTATGTATGTATGAGTGCGTGTATATGTATGAATGTGTGTATGCACACATATATATATATATATATATGTACACATATATATGCGTATATGTATATATGTATATGTGTACGTATCGAATATGCTTACGGCGAATCGCTGCCGCCGCCTGCCTTGTGGACGTGCTCATGTTGCCGGACGTTGTGGCCAGGGCTCTGCCAACCTATTGGGACATGCGCTCCCTTAGCCGTGCGAACACCTTTCGGGGAGCACTTGGGGGAGGATGGCGGGGAGCATGCTGAGGAGGAGGAGGAGGAAGCATATTGGGGGCCTCCTTGGGCCACTTGGGAGCCTTTTGGGGCTTCTCGGGCACCTCTTTGCCCGTCTTAGGTCCTGGCCCGTCTGACGCCGTCGGAAGCCGTCTTGGGGGCCTCTGTGGGCCAACTTGAGGCCCTCTTGGGGTGCTCCAGGGCCGTCTTCGAGGCCATCTTTGGCGTCTTGGAGGTCTTGGGGCCGCCTTGGGGGCCTCTTGGGCGATCTTGGAGTGATTTTTTGGGCCGACAAGAAGCAACTAACCACAGACGCATCAATGATTTTGGTTTCTTCGGGCCTTCTGGGGGACTTCTTGGAGGCTTCTTGGGCCGTCTTGGAAAACTCTTGGAGGCCTCTCGGACCGTCTCTTGTCATATTGAGGCCATCTTGGGCAGTCTTGGAGGTTTCTTGGGCAAACTTGGAGGCATCTTGGACGCTCTTGGGACGTCTTGGAGGCCATCTTGGGCGAACTCGAGGGCCATCTTGGCCGTCTTGGACGCCATCTTGGGCCGTCTTGGAGCCATCTGAAGCGGGATAAACGTTTGCAGCCTCTGGAAGAGCCTTCTGGGTGGCTGGCGCGTCGCGCTCGGCCGAAGCGCCAGGGGATGTAATTTTGAAAACACAACCAAGACAAACACCGTACAGGATCTAGCACACCGGGCACCCCTATGGCAAGTCAACAGGGGGTGGCGGATATCGAAGACGCCTACGGCGAATCACCGCCGCCCCCTGCCCTTTCGGAAGCGCCGATGCGGCCGACTGCTGTGGCCAGAGGTCTGCCAAGTTATTGGGCCATATGTTCCCCGAATCGGTCTTTACAGACTTCGGGGAACACGTGGGGGAGGACGGGGAGGAGAGGAGAGATAGGAAGGGGGGGAATGGAGGAGGAGGTCTCTTGAGAGCCTTTTTGGCTACTCTGGGTTTATATTGGGCCGTCTGGGGCCGTGGGAGAGCTGAAAAGAAGAACATGCCAAAATCCTTCAAAAACCTTAGGAAAATCACTGATTTTAACCTATCCGGGCCTTCCTGGAGGGCGTCTTTGAGGGCTCTTGGGCCGTCTTGGAGGCCTTTTGCCGGCCTTTTGGGCCGTCTGAGACAATCTTGAGGCCATCTTGGACCGTCTTGGGTGCATCTTGGAGCCATCTTACCCGTCTTGGAGGCCATCTTGGCCGTCTTGGAGGCATTTTGGAGGCCATCTTGGGCCATCTTGGCCGTCTTGGAGGCCATCTTGAGCGTCTTGGAGGCCTCCTGGGCCGTCTTGAGGCCCTCTTGGGGCCTTCTTGGGGGCCTCTTGGGCCGTCATGGGGCCATCTTGGAGGCCTCTTGGGTGCTGTTGGGGCGATGTTGGGGACCTCTTGGGCCGTCTTGGGCCGTCGGAGAGCTGAAAAGAAGAACATGCAAAAATCCTTGAAAAACCTAAGGAAATCAATGATTTTAACCTATTCGGGCCTTCCTGGAGGGCGTCTTGGAGGGCTCTTGGGCCGTCTTGGAGGCCTTTTGCGAGCCTTTTGGGCCGTCTTAGACCATCTTGAGGCCATCTTGGGCCGTCTTGGGTGCATCTTGGAGCCATCTTACCCGTCTTGGAGGCCATCTTGGCCGTCTTGGAAGCATCTTGGAGGCCATCTTGGGCCATCTTGGCCGTCTTGGAGGCCATCTTGGGCCAAGTTGGGGCAACAAAGGCATTGACAGATGGATTTTCGGAAACTTGCGGGTGGCCGGCGGGACGGGCCGAAGCCCACTGGGGAGTTCTTTTAGAAAAAGAACCAAAACCAAAACCTGAAACATCCAGCACGCCGTGCACCCCTGTGGCAAGACCACAGGGGGCGGCGGATGTAGTGGCCTTCGGCCCATCCCGCCACCGTGCCTGGGCTGTGATTCCGAGGCCTCTGGTATTCATATGAGGGTCTCTTGGGATACCTCTCGGGGGGCTCTTGGAGGGGTCTTGGGGGCTTTGGGGGCCCCCTGTTGGCTTCTTAGAGGCTTCCTGGGGGCCTCTTGGGGGCCCCTTCGGGCGTCTTGGGGGAGCTCGGGAGCCTCTGGGGGGGCTCTTGGGGCCATCTTGGGGCGGAAGGCTCGGAATGCTCTCTCGTGTTTCTATTCTCGGGCCCCTCTTGGTTGCCTCTTGGGCCGTCTTTGGGCCTCTTTGGGCGTCTTAGGGCCCTCCTCGGGGCCTCCTGGGCAGTTCTGGGAGGTTTCTTGGGCAAACTTGGAGGCATCTTGGACGCTCTTGGGCCGTCTTGGAGGCCATCTTGGGCGAACTCGAGGGCCATCTTGGCCGTCTTGGACGCCATCTTGGGCCGTCTTGGAGCCATCTGAAGCGGGATAAACGTTTGCAGCTTCTGGAAGAGCCTTCTGGGTGGCTGGCGCGTCGCGCTGGGCCGAAGCCCCAGGGGATGCAACCAAGACAAACACCGTACAGGATCTAGCACGCCGGGCACCCCTATGGCAAGTCAACAGGGGGTGGCGGATATGTAGTGGCCTTCGGCCCATCCCGCCACCGTGCCTGGGCTGTGATTCCGAGGCCTCTGGTATTCATATGAGGGTCTCTTGGGATACCTCTCGGGGGGCTCTTGGAGGGGTCTTGGGGGCTTTGGGGGCCCCCGTTGGCTTCTTAGGGGCTTCCTGGGGGCCTCTTGGGGGCCTCTTGGGGCGTCTTGGGGGAGCTCGGGAGCCTCTGGGGGGGCTCTTGGGGCCATCTTGGGGCGGAAGGCTCGGAATGCTCTTTCGTGTTCCTATTCTTGGGCCCCTCTTGGTTGCCTCTTGGGCCGTCTTTGGGCCTCTTTGGGCGTCTTAGGGCCCTCCTCGGGGCCTCCTGGGCAGTTCTGGGACGCTATTGGGAGCTTCTCGGGCCGCCTTGGAGCGTTCAAAGCTGAAAAAGGCGAGAAGGCTAAACTCAGACAGCAACCTTTTCGGAAAATCAATAGCTTAGGCCTCTGAAGGGTGCTTTTTGGGCCATCCTTCTGGCTTCTTGGAGGCCTTCTGGCTTCTTGGAGGCCTCTATGGATGTCTCTCAGCCATCTGGAGGATCTGGGGGCACCTCAGGGCGACTCGAGGCTCTATGAGGCCGTCCTCGCGGCCTCCTCGGTCCCTCAGGGCCCATCTTGAGACGCTCCTGGCTGCCCCGGGACGGACGCGACGCACCCCAGGGGCCCCCAGGGGCTCCCGGAGATTCCCGAGAGCGCCTGGGAGCGCCGAGCAGCAGCAGCAGCAGCAGCAGCAGCAGCAGCAGCAGCAGCAGCAGCAGCAGCAGCTGTGAGCCTTTGGGCACTCCACTTCGGCGGGTGCATGATCTTAGGGGACAAGTTCCGGGGCCCTGGAACTCGGACCTCCACTGCGCATGGGGGAACCGGGCCTTTTGGGGGGACGCGGCGGCGAGCCCAGCGTAGTCGTTCAAGGTGGAACGCCGCCAGGGTCTTGAGATCGACCGCCATCGAAGGATCCCCTGTGCCGGGAGGCTGCGATCCACCAAGCCTGAGCGCCCTGCGCGGTGCCAGGAGGCCCACGCCGAAGACGACGCGCAGGGCGAAGGCCGAACGCCCCACGCGGCGCCGAAGGCTCCGCGCACAGAGCCGTGGCTCTGCCCTCTCCCGCCCGCGTGCGCGGCAAGGAACGACACCATGCTCTTCTACAACGCGGGCGGCACGTGCAGCCTCACCCGAGGCGAGGCGCGCCCGCCCCCGCGCGAGAGCGCCGCCTCCTCCTCCTCCTCCTCCACCTCCTCCTCCTCCACCCTCCTCCTCCTCCTCCTCCTCCACCCTCCTCCTCCTCCTCCTCCTCCTCCTCCTCCTCCTCCTCCTCCTCCTCCTTTGGCAGGGGCCCGCGCCGGTCCGATCGGTCCGATGCGATGCCGGTTGCGGCCGGTGCGAGCCGATGCCGATGCCGAGGCTCCAGTGCGAAGGAGCTTGCGCATAATTACCCAACCCTGCCCTACCTGCAATCGCCGAAAGATTACGACAAAAACGCCCACGGGACTCGACATTCGAAGCACCTCCCCAGCCGCCACCGCTCGAGACAGGACCACGAGAACGCGGGTCAAGAGTATGAGCCTTCAGTAGCCCGATCAGGGGCAGCGATGGGGGTGGATAGGCAAATGGGGGCGGGGGAGTGCGTCGAGCCCCGCTCGCCCACGGATCGCCGAAAGGGGCCCCCGATAGTCCCAACCCACACAGGAAGGTGCGGAGTCACTAGCGGGGGCCGATCGCCGATCAATCGGCGATGTATCGCCGATTCCAGGTCGATGCATCCCCCCGCATGCCAGTCTCCCTCTATCGTTGCCCCTCATCCGATGGGTGGCTCGGTGCGTGCTTGGCGTTGTTGTGTGCATCCTGGCGCGGCCGATTCGATTCGATGTTTCGGCGCCGTGGGCCACGCAGGCCGCTCTGGCGCCCAGTTCGACTGGGTCCGATTTCCCGCTGTGGTGCCGACTGGTCCTGCCCTCCTCCGTCCTTGCCCGCTTCCTCTGCATGCTAGTCTCATGCATGCCACGCGATGCCGCAGTGGGCACGGGCGAGCTCCCCAGTGGGGCACGCACGATCCAGGCGTTCGCTCCGCTTCCTCGTGCGTTCCCTCGTCTTCCCCCCCCGCCTCTCGGGGCAAGTCGGCGCGCCCGCCCCCCCAGGGCCCAAGGCCAACGGCGGGTTCTTCCGGAAGTGCCAGTGCTCCGAGCACAACAAGTGCTTGTGCCGGAGGCCGAGAGGCGGCGCCGGGAGTTTCTCGGCGGCGGGCACGGCGAGGAGAGGGGAGCGGACGGGTGAGCGGGCGGGGCACAGTACGATCCGATCGGCTCGATGTCGATCTCGGCCAGTCCGACGCGGTCGAGTTTTGCAGCGGTTCGGCGCGGCCCGATGTCTACATAGCGCCGTTGTGCATCGCGGCGCGGCCGACGCGACTCGAGTCCGCCTCCGTGCCGATGCGGCCCGATTCGGTGCAGAGTCCGATCCCAGCCGATGTCCTTGTCGGTGCTGACCGATTCTGGGGAGGGGGGAGGGAAGGGCGGGCCAGACGTGCGAGTAGCCCATCGACAGAGTGGCCCCTGGTTCGGGGGCGGACAGAACCCCAACAGTGACACGTCGATTAGTGAATTGTCCGTTTTCGGTTCTCGGGATGGCGCCGCGGCCGCCATTTTCCAGGCTTGCGCGCGCCAGGTTTGGGCCTCAGGTCGTTTTCACTCAACCACGTTTTACTAAAGGGAGGTCTGTCATCCCCGATTGGTGCGCAGCTCTCGCGGGCGCCGGGGGGGGCAGCGCTGAGCACACGTGCCGCTGCCGTCGCACCGCATGCGGCGATCGGCGAGCCGAGCACCAAAATGGTCACTGCTGCCTATAGTGCCACTTCGCGTGTGGCCGAGTGGAGGTAGACGGCGAGGAGGAGGAGGAGGAGGAGGAGGAGGAGGAGGAGGAGGAGGAGGAGGAGCAGGAGCAGGAGGAGGAGGATGAGGAGGAGGATGGAGGAGGAGGTAGAGACGAGGAGGAGGAGGAGGAGGAGGAGGAGGGGAGGAGGAGGAGGAGGAGGAGGAGGAGGAGGAGGAGGAGGAGGAGGAGGAGGAGGAGGAGGACGAAGAGGGATATGCAGTAGGCTCTGCGCGTGCTTCCAGAGTGTCTAGCTGTTCTCGGCCGTCTCCGGACCGTCTCGGAGTCTGCGCAGGCCCCTGGAGGTCTTTGGGGGGCTGGTGGCTGCTGGCTGCGGGGCGGCGGGGCGGGGCTGGGTGGACGGGGAGGAGTGCGGCAGTCTCGGGGCAGGAGGGGGGGCGGGTAGGGGCTCTCGGTGCCGGTGCCCTCCCTGGGCGAAACACTGGGGCTCACTGGGGCCATCCTCCTCCTCCCCCCCCTCCCTCTCTCCTCCACCTCCTCCTCTCCTCCTCCCTCCTCCTCCTCCTCCTCCCTCCTCCTCCCCCTCCTCCTCCTCCCCTTGTCCTCCTCCTCCTCCTCCTCCTCCTCCTTCTCCTCCTCCTCCCCCTCCTCCTCCTCCTCCTCCTCCTCCTCCTCCTCCTCTCGCTTGCTGTCTGGGGCCTCGGCGGCCGCCTTCCTGCCCTCTCTCCCCGCCTCGCGCCCCGCGTGCAGCTCGCGCTCGCTTCCGTGGCCTAGCCCTCCGCACCTCGTGGCAGAAGTCAGGAGGCAACAAACAAAACACACACAGACACAATTCATCGTCGACTCCCAGGAAAAGATGGGAACATCTGGGAAGTGGTGTGGGGGGGAAGACAAACCCCCCAAAAAGATTGGAAAGTATAGGGAGTCCTGTTATCTGTGTGTGTGTGTGTATTTCTTTGTGTGTCCCAGGGCCCCTTCAAGAAGGGAGGAGGCCGCGGCCCTCCCAGAGGGGCGCCTCTGGCCCCCCTCGGCCCCGCCACGAGGGAGCGGCCGCCGGAGCGGCCTCCTGCCCGGACCCCCTGGAATCGGGGGTGGACAGAACCCCCAACAGTGACACGTCGATTAGTGAATTGTCCGTTTTCGGTTCTCGAGAGGGCGCCGTGGCCGTTATTTTCCAGGCTTGCGCCCGCCAGGTTTGGGCCTCAGGTCGCTTTCACTAAACCACGTTCTGCTAAAGGGGGGTCTGTCCATCCCCGATGGAAGCCCTGCAGAGACGGCTCGAGCCAGACTCCCCGCCCCCCCCAATCAAACGACGCGAAGATCGGGACAAAATCGGATCGGGATAACTCGAAATCTCTGAGAATCGGCGGGTTTGGAGGATGTATGGGGCGCCGCGGCCGCTCCAGAGCGCTCCGGAACGCTCTGAGAGCGCTCCGGAACGCTCTGGAGCGATGTATCCCGATCCTGGCCCTGTTTTGCCCAAAACCAGAACATCAGGCGCCCTCCCCTCTTCGGGGGCAACGACACGGGGGGATGGGCACAGGGGGGGATGCATCGACCCCCGATCGCCGATGGATCGCCGATGGGGACGCGATATTTAGCCCCACCCCGCCCAGGGAGGTGCGGACTCGCGATCGGGGGCCCATCGCCGATCCATCGACGATGCACCGCCGGTCCCAGGTCGCTGCATCCCCCCCCACGCCCATCCCCCCCTACAGTAGGGGTCCTGAAGCAGGAACCCTTTTCGTTGGGGAGGGGCTCCGTGTTCCTTGAGTGTTTCACAGCTTGCCTTGGGTTTTCCTTCGGTTCTCGAAGGGAAATCGAAGTTCAGCTTCTGGAGAAAAGGGGCCTCGTTCCTGATTTAGGGTTCCTTGGGTCAACGCCCCTTCTGTATCGTTGCCCCCTCCCCTCCGCACCGAGCATCCGGCGCGGCCGCTGCGACCGCGGTGCGAGCGACCCCGCCGCCACGGGCCAGCACCGAGCGCGGGGGGCCCCGCGCCCCCGCAGCCGCGGGCCGAGCCCGGGACGCTCCGCCCGCCGGGGGGCCCGCGGCGGCAGCGCGGGGCGCAGGAGCGCCGCGCGGGCGGGGGCGTCGAGAGTGGCGGGGCTCCCCGTGGCGACTGGGCTCGGGAGGGGAAAAGACACACAGACACAATGGCTTGTCGATGCCCAGGAAAAACTGTGGAAGCATATGGGAATGGGGGGGGGGGGAGACAAGAGCCGAGAAAATAGATGGGAAAAAAAACACACAGGCACAATGGCTCGTTGAGTCCCAGGAAAAAATGTGGAAACATATGGGAATGGGGGGGAGGCAAGAGCCCAGAAGACATGTGGGAAACTCTGGGGGAGTCCGGTGACTTGCGTGTGCACTTTTGTTTTTTTGTGTGCCCCGGGGCCCCTTCACTGGCTGGCGTCTCTCGGACGTGCGCAGTATGCCTCCTCGGCGAGGAGCATCTTGGGCCGTCCGGCGAGGACGGGAGCGCACGGCGTCGGCAGGCGCACGGGGGACGGGCGTCCGAGAGCGGTGGCGAGCGGAGCAGCGTGGTGCCGTCCGAGGTCTGCGGGAGAGGTCCTGCTCGCTCCGAGTGCGGCGCTCGTTGCCGGCGCGGTGCCACGCGTCCCTAAGTTGAAGAAATGAGGCACTTGCGGCGGGCTCCTTCTTCAGTATCCTTTAACCGATCCCCATCCCCATGCTCATCCCCTTCGAGACCCCCACCAAACTACACCCCCAGTTGGGGATGCACCCCTCGAAACCCGAAGGAGACGGCCTACATCCCCATCTAGGCGGGTAAATCGGCCGTTGGGGCCCAGCGCTGGGGGCTGCCCAGCGGCGTTTGCGCGCAACGGCGGCGCAGCGAATCGCGCAGCTCCCCAAGGTGCCGGACTAGGCGCCGCGGTTCCGGGCGTCCGCGGCTGCGCGCTGCGCCCGTTCTCGCCAGTCCAAAGCAGCGCTCGTCGTGGGTGGGGAGGGGGGAGGGGGGGGAGGAGGGGGGAGGACTGGGCGGCGAAGTCTGAGCCCTGCTGCGCCCCCCTCCTCGCAGGGCCCATCTGCAAGCCGCAGTCGAGGGAGGTGGTCGAGGGCCTGGACGAGCTGCTGGGCGAGCTGAGCCGCCTCGAGCGGGGCCTGGAGCGCTCGGGCGGGCCCGGGGAGAGGACGGAAAGCGAGGAGGGGCGGTGGACAACAACAACGGCTGGATCATCTGGAGCTTTAGAGACGAGAGTCGGGAAATCGAGGACGAGGATCGAGGATCGAGGAGCGCTGAAGAATGACGGCATGATCATCCTGTGGTGGAGAGGCGAGGGTTGGGACGTCGAGGTGGCGGATCGAGGGGCGATTAAGAATGACGGCATGATCATTTGGTGGTTCGAAGACGAGGGTCGGGACGTCGAGGAGCAGGATCGAGGTGGTTTGGCAACCCTCCCCACCCTCTCCCCTGGGTCGAGTACGCAACCGCAATCTACCCAACAGTAGAGGGAAACAATTCGTGGGCACTCCCCCGCCCCCCCAAGCTAACAGTTGGCACGCGCGGGGAAGACGGCGGTCGAAGTGCAGCTCATTCAACTCACCGTCAACACTGATCACTGGGGGGAGGGTATTGGCAGATGAATGCGGCATGAGTGTTCGCTGATTTCTTCCAATAGTGGAACAGAAAGTGGCATTAACACAAAAACTCGGAGGTCCGCGCGGATTTCTCGGACTGGCGCTGGACTCCCCTCCCTGGCGCGCGGAGCGCGCCAGGGGCGGCGCCGGAGGCGCCGCCGTGGGGCCCCAGCGCCGACCGAGAAGTCCGCGCGGACCTCCGAGTTTTTATGCCTGTGCCACTTTGTGTTTCTCCTGGGGGGGAGGAGAGGAGGAGGAGGAGGAGGAGGAGGAGGAGGAGGAGGAGGAGGAGGAGGAGGAGGAGGAGGAGGAGGAGGAGGAGGAGGAGGAGGAGGGGTGTGTTCTCCTGTCCAAGGCCCGAGGCATGACTTTCTGGGGCTCGGACGGGCTTCCGGGGTCGCTCCTGTCGGGCAAAGGGAACTGTGCACGTGCACCGATCCTGGCAAGGCCCATCCTTGACCCAGGATCGGTGCATATGAGCCTTCCTGGCCAAGGTAGGAGGGCGTATGCACCGATCCTGGGCTCAGGCTGGGCCTGGCCAGAATCGGTGTATGTGCATAGTTCTTTTTCCTCTATCCTGGGCGCCACCCCTCGGCGCTGCCTCCCGCGCGTTCTCCTCGCGCGCCTGCCGGGCGGGGGCCGGCGCCGGCCCAGGAAGGCCGCGCTCGGGCCTCCGGAAGTGGATGCCTGTGGCGTCGACGGCTCTATTCGAGGGGGGGGGGAGGAGGAGGAAGTCCGCTCGGATTTCGGAGAGTGTGTGTTTAGGCCGTTGATTGTTCTAGTCGAGGAGGAGGAGGAGGAGGAGGAGGAGGAGGAGGAGGAGGAGGAGGAGGAGGAGGAGGAGGAGGAGGAGGAGGAGGGGGAGGGGGAGGAGGGGAGGAGGGGGAGGAGGAGGAGGAGGAGGAGGAGGGAGGAGGGGGAGGAGGAGGAGGAGGAGGAGGAGGAGGAGGCTCCGAACGTCTCGCGATCCAGAAGGGAGTTGGGCGCATCATCTCAGGACGACCTGTGCTATGTTTTGACCCACGGGCCAGGAGTTGCGACTCGGCTGCCCTGCCACTGGCACTGCAAGGAGGCGGGGGCCCCTGCGGCGAGCGGCGCCCAGGAAGCAAGAGTCGCTATCTTCGGGCGGAGGTGTTGGGGCTGGGGTGGGTCCCTGCAGCGAGCGGCGGCACACAGGAGCCAGGGGGCGCCGTCTCCGTGCCAAGGGCCACGAGGGCGGGTTGGTCCCTGCGGCGAGCCTCGCTCGGGCACCCACGCACCCACGAGACGCCACCTTCGGGCCGGGGCGCTGGGTGCGGGCGGGTCGCCGCGGCGAGCGCCGCCCGAGGATCGCGGGTCGCCCCGGGCGCTGCCGAGGCCCAGCTTTCTGTCGAGGGGCCGCGGGGGCCCCTCCAAGGTACGGGGGGGTGCCGTGAAAAAAATCCTGGAGCCTGGCGCTGCCGAGCCCCAGCCAGCTGTTTTGGAGCCTGTTTCCACAGTGCTGGGGCCATGACGGGCGTTATTCTGGCGTTATGGCCCCCCCCCTCCCCTGGCAGGCCCTGGAGTCCGGAGGTTGGAGCCCGAACCTCCGGAGGTGAGGGTGTCGCACCTCGGAGTTTGGAACCCCAACCTCCGGAGGTTATGGTCTCGCACCTCGTATCTTGGAACACGAACCTCCGGAGGTTAGGGTTTCGGACTCTGGAGCTTGGGACACCAGCATCCCTGCGATCAAGGCTATTGCCACCCAACCCTCGCAAAACGAAACATCGCCAAACATCATGAGGAAACATAGGGAAACAAAGAGAAGTAATGAGGTTCGAGCGCTAATCTCCGGATGCTAGGGTTTCGCATGCGGGAGCTCAACCATACGTACGGAAACACATGGAGCAGGAAGCTAAGGAACAAGTCGGAAACACATTCACATAGAAGAAGCAACGCGAAGCATTGACACCCAGAGAAATTGCACGTGAATGTGACGAAGGAACATACATACAGAACGTGTGCTTATAATAACATCGTGTTTCTGGAACCATGCGGTTTCGGCGTGGGTATTTGCCATGGCATTCGCGTGCACATCATATCCAAGACAGCCTCGTGAGTTCACGTTGGGCGCTGTCCTCACGCCGAGCCGACATGGGCCCAACCAGTGACCAAACAAAAATTGACCCGTGGCGCGCTCGGGCGGCGGCCCTCCGTGCTCGAACCACCTTGCAACCCTCCGACCCCCAATGTGCGATCACATCGCGCGGGTGTGGAGGAGGAGGAGGAGGAGGAGGAGGAGGAAACCATTGCCACAACCTGCATGACCGGCACAAGCCTTCACTCACAGCGAGTCCCGATGGCGGTCTTAAGCCGTGTCGAAATGCCCCGAATCTCCTGGCGCCGAGCTCGTCCACGCGTCTCACACGGCCTCGAGACGCCGAGCACAGTCACGCGTCTTACGCGGTTTCACGGTGTTTCGAAATATCCAAAACACTTAGGCGCCGAGCACATCCGCGCGCGTCACATGGCCTCAAGGGGCCACGCAATCCCCGGCGCCGAACGCACCCGCGAGTTCCACGAGGAGCTCAAAGTGCATAGACGCCCTCAGCGCGCGTGTCGCACGGTTTGGCGTTTCCACGAAGCCGTCGGCGCTGAGCGCATCCGCGCGTCTCACAAGGTCTCAGGTATCACTAAGTCCTCGGCGACCTGCGACCGCAGTGACAAGCCAAACGCGCGGTACAAACTGCGAGAGAACCAGGCCTTGGCCGGCGGTGGGGCGAGAGCGCACGTCTTCCTCGTCCTCGTGGGCGACTTCCTCGCTGTCGACGTCGTGGGCATTGAACTCGTCGCAATCGCCGTCGCCGTCGTCATAGACGAAACCATAACCGTCGCTATTTTTTGTTCTGTTTCCCATCAGTTTTCCTCAACTTTCTTTTGTTTTCCTCTATTCCGCTCTGTTCCTCCGTTTCCCTTTGTTTTGGGAGGTTTCGAGATTGGGAACCCTATCCTCCAGAGGTCAGGATTCCCTTTGTTTTCTGTTGTTTTCCCTATCTATGTGTTTCTTCATTGTTTTTCTTTGTTTCCCTCTGTTCCCCTCTGTTTCCCTCTGTTTCCCTCTGTGTTGGCAGGTTCCGAGAAAGCCCAAGCCTCCGGATGTGAAGGTTCCCTCTGTTTTTGTTTCAATTTCCCGGCGTTTCTCTCCGTTTCCTTTTTGTTTCCCCTCAGTGTCCTATGTTTCCCCCTGTTTCTGTTCTGGGAGGTTCCGGAGCAGGAAGCCCGATCCTCTGGAGGTCAGGGTTCCCTTCTGCGTTCCTATGATCTCCCTCTGTTCCCCTTCTGTTTCCCTTCTCGTTTCCCTTCTCATTCCTTTTGCCTTCCCCCTGTGGGAGGTACCTTTCCCTCTGTCTCCCTTCTGCTTCCCTTCTGCTTCCTTTTGTTTTCCTTGCTTTCATTATGTTTCCCTTCTGCTTCCCTTCTGTTTTCTCTCAGCTTCCCTTCTGTTTCCCCATGTTTCCGTTTGTTTGGGGAGGTTCCGAAATAGGAAAACCCAATCTCGGGAGGTTAGGGTTCCAACTTCCGGATGCCAATGTTCACCCCCCCCATAACGTAGCGCCCTTTCCCCCCAGTGCACCCTGGGCACTGCCGCTGAGCGCATTGTGATCCGCATGGGCGTCCGCATCGGAATACGCATAGTGGTTCGGTCCGCATTGGGAATCTCATGCGGATCCGCACAGGGATGTGCATGCGCATCCGCATAGGGATCCGCAGATGCATCCGCGAAAGGATCCGCATAAACATTCGCATAGGGATTCGCATGGCAATGCGCATGGGCATCCTCATAGGCATCCGCATCGGGTAGCATCCGCATCGGGATCCGCACAGGGATCCGCACAGGGATCCGCCCAGGGATCCGCACAGGGATCCGCACTGCGATCCTCATAGGGATCCGAAATTGTGATTTTGTGTTCCCGATTCCAACTATTCCTCTTCCTCCTCCTCCTGTCCCTCCTCCTCCTCCTCTTCCTCCTCTTCCTCCTCCTGCTGCTCCTCACCCCCCTCCTTCCTCGTCCCCCTCCTCCTCATCGCCATTTTTGGGTCACTCCATTTCGGCGCCAAGAGGCGGAAGAGGCAGGGCGCCAGATGCGCGCGCGGGCCTTGTGGTGCGCACAGGGATTGTGGTGCACACATGTGGTGCTGAAATGATCGTGGCTCGTAGCCCCTGGTCGCGGCCCGTGCGCACGCGCACTGTGGTGCACACTGAAGCGCTACCACTACGTGCCCTCCCCATTCCTTCCCATTCATGTCCATTCCTTTTTACGGGCGCTGTGGTGAGCGCAGTGGCCATGGCGTGCACGGGCGTCGTCGGTTCAAAGTGCAGGACTGCTCGCAGGGCAGGGAAAAAAGAAGCAATTATCACAATCAGCTTGCATGTTGCATTTGATAAGATCGACCGCCCCCACGATTTTCTGGCATGTGGTCCCGTCGGGACCCCAGGGGGTTCCAAAGGTGCACGCAGGCCTTGAGTGCCTGTGGTGCACGCAGATGGTGCTGAGCTGGTCGTGGCTCGTGGCCCCTGGTCGTGGCTCGTGCGCACAGGCACTCGCGAACGGAAGCGCTACGATTTCACATCCCCCCCCATTTTTCCCATTCCTACTTATTCCTTCATGTGGTGGCGCGGGGACAGCACGGCGTCGTCGTCGTCGTCGTCGCTCGTCGCTCGTCGCTCGTCGCTCGTTTTCGTCCTCGTCCTCGTCGTCGTCGCCGTCGTCGTCGCCGTCGCCGTCGCCGTCGCCGTCGCCGTCGCGTCGACGTCGGCGTCATCGTCGTCGTCGTCGTCGACGTCGTCGTCGTTCGTCGCTCGTCGCTCGTCGCTTGTCGCGCATCGTCGTCGTTCGCGCGGGCGCTGCTGTGGTGCCCACGCTGCGGGGGAGGGGGCGGTCCGTTATGCCCCCCCCCGCCCCCCCCCCTTCATGACGCTCGTGATCGCCGCGAAGAAAGAAACGGGCGATTGTCATGGTGCCGCGAGGCCCCTCCAAGGCACGGGGGGGGGGGGCGTGACAAAAATCTTGGGCGCTTCAGAACATCAGCTTGTTTGCCATGGTGCCGCGGGGTCTTCGACGCACGGGGGGATGCCGTGACACAAATCCTGGGGTGTGGCGCTGCCGAACCCCAGTTTTTTTGTCACAGTGCCGCGGGGCTCCTCCAAAGCACCCAGGGTGCCGTGACAGAAGTCTTGAGGTTCCCGGCCACGCGCAGGGGTGGGTAGGGCGAGGTTTTTTTTTTTTTTTTTTTTTTTTGTTTTAGAAACACCCCTACTTTGTAGAAGGCGCAAGCCTTCTCTATAGACGTAAGGCCAGGGCCTTCTAAGGAGCAGGGTGCTTCTAAGAAGCCTTCCCCCCTCCCTCTACCCCCCTTGTGCGCGCCGAATTTCGGCGCGGGTCTTTCCGCGGGAAGCCCAGGGCCAAGCATTGCAAATCTGGCAGCGCGTAACGAATAGAGGGTGTGTCTGCAGGAGGGACACGCGGCCAAGATTCCAGGACACGTCTTTTTTGGAGACGTGGTCTGAAGGTATTACAAATCTGGCAGCGCGTAACGAATAGAGGGTGTGTCCGCAGGAGGGACACGCGGCCAAGATTTCAGGACACGTCTTTTTTGGGGGACGTGGTCTGAAGTTGGGCCAGCGCTTCGCCAGGAACCGGCCCCCCCCCTGCTGCACTGCGCTGGGCACCGTAAGTCAATCAGGGTCTCCACCGGCGAAGGCCAATAATGGCAAGTCACTCAGGATGAAAAAGACACACACACAGGCACACTTCATCGCCGATTCCTCGGAACATATGGGAACATATGGGAAGTGGGGGGGAAGACAAAAACCCAGAAAATATAGGAACATGTGGGGAATCCTGTTATTTGCGTATATTTATTTGTGTGTCCCAGGGCCCTTTCATTCATGACCTTGCAAAGAGCTTAGTGGGCCCTGGAAACGACAGGGCCGTTTCTGTTACCGGTTCCGTTCTGCCGGTTTTTTGGGCAGTTCCGACGCCGTTTTTTTACCGGCTCCGTCGCCGTTTTTTTGCGGGTTCCCGCTCCGGTTCCAATCCGGGAGCCGTTTTTCTTGCCGTTTCCGGTCGCCGTTGTTTTTTTGTCGTTCCCATTTTCAAGGGACATTTTTTCGGAAACGGTGAAAAAACGGCCCTGCCGTTTCCGGTGCCCACTAAGGCACATAGCCTTTCCCTCTCTTCGTTATCCGATGTCTCTCTATCCCAGAGCGGGGTGGGCCGAAGTCGTCACCCGTGGGGGAGCAAGTCCCGAGCAGCGCAGCGCGCACCACGGCGGCGCGACGCCGCCGCCAGCGACGCGAGGAAGGGGGCGAGGCGCGCGCGCGCGCCGCGCCAGAGCAGCGCCCGTGGGGGGAGGGGCACGCGGTGGTAGGAGGGGAGGGAGGGCAGAGGAAAGGGGGAGGGAGGAGGAGCAGGAAGGAAGGGAGGAGGGGGGGGGGGCAGAGGAGAGGGAGAGGGAGGAGGGGAGGAGGAAGGGGAGGGGGGCAGAGGAGAGGGGGAGAGGGAGGAGCAGGAGGGGAGGAGGGCAGAGGAGAAGGGGAGAGGTCGGAACAGGATGAAGGGAGAGTTTCAGGGCCCTTCTCCTCTCTTGCTCCTCGCTTCTTCTCCCCCGTGCCCCTGCGTCCCCTCCCCCCTCCCCCTCCTCCTCGCCGCTCTTCTCCTCCCATGTCCTCGCCCGCCCTCCCCCTCCTCGCCCCTCTCCTCCTCGCCCCGCTCCTCCTCCCCCAGGACCCGGCGACGCGGCGGCCGGCAGGAGTGGCGGTGCAGGGCGTCAGGCCGCGCCGCCAGGAGGAGAGGGGAGGGGAGGGAGGGAGGGGGGGGGGGAGGGAGGAGAGGGGAGGGGAGAGGGGAGGGGAGGGGAGGGGAGGGAGGGGAGGGGAGGGAGGGGAGGGGGGGAGGGGGGGGGAGGGAGGGGAGGGGAGGGAGAGGGGAGGGGAGGGGAGGGGAGGGAGGGAGGGGAGGGGAGAGGGGAGGGGAGAGGGGAGGGAGGGGAGGGAGGGAGGGAGGGGAGGGGTCCTCCTGCTCCGCAGGGCCGCGGGCCCGGCCGGGCGAGCTCCCCGCTCGCGAGAGCCGGCGCGCGCCGTCCCCCCGGGATCCTCCCGGCGGCCAGGCATCCGCCGCCGAAGATAGGAGCATGTTGCAGAGCGCCCCCCCCCTAACTATACACCTTAGGCGATGCTTAAGAAAGCCCAAGTTTTCGGCCAGTTATTCTTAACGTTTCAGTGTGAATCCTAAGATTTTAATGCAAATGTTGGGTTTTTATTCAAGTTCTGAGACTATGAATTTCTTAACCCATGATTTCTTAAGCATTTCGCAGGGTGTAGGAGCCTGTTTTGTTTAGACTCTGGCAAGTTTACTTGCATGGACGGGGGGGGGGGGAGGGGGGCTGAGCCTGAAGCAAGCCCGGGGGGGGGAGCGCGGAAATCACGCAAGTCGAAAGGCACTTGCACGCTAGTATTCGCTTGAAGAGGGGCGAGGGGGGGGGGGGGGGCGAACGCCATGCAAGTAAACTTGCCTGAATCCAAAAAACAGGCTCTAGGGGAACAAACAGTGACACAAACATAAAATCTCGGAGGTCCGCGCGGATTTCTCGGATCCGCGCTGGACCCCCCTGGCGGCGCCTTCGGCGCCGCCCCTGGCGCGCTCCGCGCGCCAGGGAGGGGGTTCCAGCGCGGATCCGAGGAATCCGCGCGGACCTCCGAGTTGTTGTGTTTATGTCACTTTGTGTTCCCCTAGAAAAAACATGTTGCAGAGCGCCCCCCCTGGAAAATACTCCACGGGCACCGGAACGATGTTTTTTTCTTTATTTTAAAATGATATGCTTTACACACATGTGCATTTGTGAATACAGTATGTGCACATGTGCATATGTGTGTATATATATATATATATATATAAGTCACGTTGGTTCGCTGTGCTGAAGTCCCAGAACTGTGCATGCACGTTTCGTTCGCGGCGTTGAGATCCCCGGAATCGTGTGCTGGTGTGATTGAGGGTTCTCAGAAGGTTGTCTTCCAATGGGGCATTTCCGCAGTGAAACAAATACATTATATGAAGAGGGAACGTGGAGGGAGGGTTCACTGCAGCATATCGTTCATGCGACTTGGGCTTACACTGGTCCTCCTCCTCCTCCTCCTCCTCCGTCGCCGGGGAAGTTGGCTCAGGGGGCGGAGCATCGCCACGCAATCCCTTCAGTTCTCGCCGAGCGGGGCCCTGGGCTGCCCACGAATGCGGGCTCCTCCCTTGGGGGCCCAGCGCCGCCAGGTCTGTCGGCAGTGCCTCGTCGACTCCACGTCATTGCCTCCCGCCCCCCCCTGTGACGTGCGGCGCCCCCCCCCTCGTGTCGACCACCATCATTAGGGGGCCACGTGCGAACCCTACCCCCCACGATTTCTGAGGGGGAGGGTGGGGTTCACATCGCTCGGGAGCTCCCCTCGTGTCGACCCCTCAGCAGGGGGCCACGTGCGAACCCTACCCCCCACGATCTCTGAGGGGGAGGGTCGGGTTCGCTTTGTTCGGGAGCTCCCGAGCGATGTGAACCCCGCCCTCCCCCTCAGAAGTCGTTGGGGGGCAGGGGTAGGGTTCGCACGTGGCCCCCCACCTCGTGTCCACCTCGCGCTTCCCTCGCTCGGCGACCGGGCGCGGCGTGCCCTTCCCCGCGCGCCGTGGTGCGGCTTGAGTTCCTTCGCCGTCGGAGAAGGGACAGGCACCAGACAGGGACGGAGAGGCCAAGCGCCGTCGTGTGCCCAGGCACGGACCGCGAGTTCTCATAATATTTCGTTGGCTGAGCACCGCAAAATACCTATGCCATGCTTCAGTCTTCGACCAACGCCATCCTCCAGCAGCATCGAACGCGAAACTCGCAGCGAAGTGGCGCCAGCTAAGCTCGCCGCCGATGCAATTTTGCATGGCGTCGTGAGAGGCGAACCGCGTGGCCACTCTTTCGTGTAGACATTTCGCCGAGTTCGTGCCTGGGCCGATCCCTTTGTCTCCGCAGCCTCCCACTGGCAGGCTGCAAGGGACAGCTACGAGACTGTTTTTTTACGCCCTGGCGCTAGGAGAGCGTTTTTTTATTCCTGCCACGATAACGTGCTCTCCTGGGGGTTGGGGGGTGGGCAGGACCAGTAACGTCACGTTTCGCACCGGCGCCGTCTGGGAATGCCCAGGAGCAATCATAGACAGCTCGGAGGTCAGCATCGCTTGTGATCTGCGGGAGGGGGGGGGTGCTGCAGGGGCCAATAACGGCCGCTGTCCCGAAAAATACAAACAACTTTTTCTAACGGGCGTGAGCTGGGCGAGGGAAAGGGGGGGGAGGGGGCCGGGCACGTCAAGATTCGCGCCCGCGCGGTTTATGGGAATGCTTAGAAATGGCTGATTCCCACACGGCGCCAGCTAGAATCGTGACGTGACCCAGGGGAGGAAGGGGGGGGCGGGGCCCGGTTACGGGCGATGAGCGTGATCGGGAGTAAACGGGTTCTGCCGGTACCGCTGCCCTCGTCTTCACGGCTGGATTCGCTTCGAAGTTCTGGGCAGAACGTACTCTTGAGGAGGTCTGCGGAGTAGCGGTATTGTTATCGTGTTGTTCCCGAAGAGTCGTGATGGGAACAACCGGGACTCATAACAACAACCGTTCGGTTTGAGCGGGCTCGCTGTCGGTTTGGGACAAGATTTGCTTTTGGCAGCGTGCATTTGTGCTCCTCACCCCTTGGACGTGCCAATCCTGCGCATGATCCTGAACTGCGGGAAACCTCGCGTTGCCGCCATGCTTGCGAAGA